AACTTCACACCTTGTTATTGAAGGTTTTGGCTATTCAGCGTGTTGGCTTCTTCCTGTTTGGAGGCTTCTTCCTTCTTCTTCGGCTTGGGAGGATGCAAGTGTCCAGGAATTTATCTATTTCCTCCAGGTTTACTAGTTTATGTGCATAGAGATGTTTGTAATAATCTCTGATGATGGTTTGTATTTCTGTGGAATCTGTGGTAATATCCCCTTTATCGTTTTTTTATTGCATCTATTTGATTATTCTTTTATTTTTTATTAATCTGGCTTGTGGTCTATTTTGTTGATCTTTTCAAAAAACCAGCTCCTGGATTTATTGATTTTGTGAAGGGTTTTTCGTGTCTCTATCTCCTTCAGGTCTAATCTGATCTTAGTTATTTCTTGTCTTCTGCTGGGTTTTGAGTTTTTTTGGTCTTGCTTCTCTAGCTCTTTCAAGTTTGACGATAGGGTGTTGATTTTAGATCTTTCCTTGCTTCTCATGTGGGCATTTATTGCTATTTTCCTCTAGACACTGCTTTAAATGTGTCCCAGAGATTCTGGTATGTTGTGTCTTCGTTCTCGTTGGTTTCACAGAACATCTTTATTTCTGCCTTCATTTCATTGTTTATCCAGTCAACATTCAAGAGCCAGTTGTTCAGTTTCCATGAAGCTGTGCGGTTCTGAGTTCATTTCTGAATTCTGAGTTCTAACTTGATTGCACTGTGGTCTGAGAAACTGTTATGATTTCCATTGTTTTGCATTTGCTGAGGAGTGATTTACTTCCAATTACGTGGTCAATTTTAGAGTAGATGTGATGTGGTGCTGAGAAGAATGTATATTCTGTGGTTTTGAGGTGGAGAGTTCTGCAAATGTCTATTAGGTTTGCTTGATCCTGGTCTGAGTTCAAGTCTTGGATGTCCTTGCTAATTTTCTGTCTCACTGATCTGTCTAATATTGACAATGGGGTGTTAAAGTCTCCCACTATTATTGTGTGGGAGTCTAAGTTTCTTTGTAAGTCATTAAGAACTTGCTTTATGTATTGCTCCTGTATTGGGTGCATATATATTTAGGACAGTTAGCTCTTCTTGTTGCATTGATCCTTTTACCACTATGTAATGTCCTTCTCTGTCTCTTTTGATCTTTGTTGATTTAAAGTCTATTTTATCTGAGATGAGAATTGCAACTCCTGCTTTTTTTTTGCTCTCCATTTGCTTGGTAACTCTTCCTCCATCCCTTTATTTTGAGCCTTTGTGTATCCTTGCATGTGAGATGGGTTTCCTGGATATGGCACACTGATGGGTTTTGGATTTTTATCCAATTTGTCAGTCTGTGTCTTTTGATTGGGGCATTTAGCCCATTTATTTAGGGTTAATATTGTTATGTGTGAATTTGATACTGCCATTTTGATGCTAGCTGGCTGTTTTGCCCATTAGTTTATGCAGTTTCTTCATTGTGTTGATGCTCTTTACCATTTGGTATGTTTTTGGAGTGGCTGATACTGGTTGTTCCTTTCTATGTTTAGTGCCTCTTTTAGGAGCTCTTGTAAAGCAGGCCTAATGGAGATGAAATCTCTGAGTACTTGCTTGTCTGTAAAGGATTTTATTTTTCCTTCACTTATGAAGCTTAGTTTGGTTGGATATTAAATTCTTGGTTGAAAGTTCTTTTCTTTTTTTTGAGACAGAGTTTCGCTCTTGTTACCCAGGCTGGAGTGCAATGGCGCGATCTTGGCTCACCGCAACCTCCGCCTCCTGGGTTCAGGTAATTCCCCTGCCTCAGCCTCCTGAGTAGCTGGGATTACAGGCACACGCCACCATGCCCAGCTAATTTTTGGTATCTTTAGTAGAGATGGGGTTTCACCATGTTGACCAGGATGGTCTCGATATCTTGACCTCGTGATCCACCTGCCTTGGCCTCCCAAAGTGCTGGGATTACAGGCTTGAGCCACTGCACCCGGCCTGAAAGTTCTTTTCTTTAAGGATGTTGAATATTGGCCCCCACTCTCTTCTGGCTTGTAGGGTTTCTGCTGAGACATCTGCTGTGTCTGATGGGCTTCCCTTTGTGACTGACCTGACCTTTCTCTCTGGCTGCCCTTAGCATTTTCTCCTACATTTCAACCCTGGTGAATCTGACGATTATGTACCTTGGGGTTGCTCTTCTTGAGGAATATCTTTGTGGTGTTCTCTGTATTTCCTGGACTTGAATATTGGCCTATCTTGCTAGGTTGGGGAAGTTTTTCTGGATAATATCCTAAAGGGTATTTTCCAGCTTGGATTCATTCTCTCCGTCACATTCAGGTACACCTATCAAACATAGATTAGGTCTTTTCACATAGTCCCATATTTCTTGGAGATTTTGTTCATTCCTTTTTACCCTTTTTTCTCTAATCTTACCTTCTCATTTTATTTCATTGCGTTGATCTCCAATCTCTGATATCCTTTCTTCTGCTTGGTCAATTCAGCTGTTGAAACTTGTGTATGCTTCGTGAAGTTCTCGCGTTGTGTTTTTCAGCTCCATCAATTCACTTATATTCCTCTCTAAGTTGTTTATTCTCATTAGCATTTCATCAAATCTTTTTTCACCATTCTTAGTTTCTTTGCATTGGGTTAGAACATGTTCTTTTAGCTGACAGAAGTTTCTTATTACCCACCTTCTGAAGCCTGATTCTGTCAGTTCATCACACTAATTCTCCATCCAGCCTTGTTCCCTTGTTGGTGAGGAGTTGTGATCCCTTGTAGGAGGAGAGGCATTCTGGTTTTGGGTGTTTTCATCCTTTTTGCGCTGGTTTCTTCCCATCTTTGTGTATTTATCCACCTGTCATCTTTGTAGTTGTTGACTTTCAGATTGGGTCTCTCAGTGGACGTCCAGTTTGTTGATGATGAAATTATTTCTTTCTGTTTGTTAGTTTTCCTTCTACCAGTCAGACCCCTCTGCTGCAGGACTGCTGAGGTCCACTCCAGGCCCTGCTTGCCTGGGGATCACCTGCAGCGGCTGCAGAACAGTAAAGGTTGCTGCCAGTTTCTTCTTCTGCTATCTTTGTCCCTGAAGGATACCCGCCTGATGGCAGTCTGAGCTCTCCTTTATGAGGTGACTATTTGGATATACAGGGGTCAGGGAGCTGCTTGAGGAGACAGTCTGTCCTTTATAGGAGCTCAAGTGCTGAGCTGTGAGCTCTGTTGTTCATTTAGAGCTGCTGGGCAGGTATGTTTAAATCTGCTGCAGCAGAACTCATAAACCCCCTTTTTTTCCCTCAGGTGCTCTGTCCCAGGGAGTTAGGGCTTTATTTATGAGTTTCTGTTGTGCCGCTGCCTTTTTTTCATGGCTGCCCTGCCCAGCGAGGAGGCAACCTAGTTACTGTCTGCCTGCAGAGGCTTTGCTGAGCTGCTGTGGGCTCTGCCCAGCTGCCCTGTGAACTTCCCTGCAGTCCTGTTTATATGGGTATAGTTAGAACTGCCTTGGCAATGGTGGCCCACCTCTATAGTGATGGACCCTCTCTGTATTGGCAGGCTGCCTTGGCAACGGCAGGCTGCCTCAGCAATGGGAGACTACCTCTGTAGTGGTGGAGTGCCTCGGTAATGGCGGATGCCACTCCCCCACAGAGCTGGACCGTCCTGGGTTCAGCTGTGCTTGCTGTGAAACTCTCAATCCAGAGTGTTTCCGATTGCTGTTTTTTTGTGGGGGTGGGACCAGCCTCACCTGGCTCCCTGCCTCAGACCCCCCCATTTTTTTTTTAGTTGAACAGTCGACTGTCTCCCAGGTGTTCCAGTTGCCTGTTGAAAAGGCACTGGGATCTGTGTGATTTTCCGTGTGGCAACCCACTGCGCCTGAGCTGGGTGTAACAGCTGCGCTGAGATTCATGGTGCTTTTTGCCTGGGAATCTCCTGGCCTGGCTCCCTGTTTCAGTCCCCTTTTGTATCAGTTGAATGAGCAACTCTGTCTTCCCAGAGCTCCAATCGCCAGCTAAAATGGCTCCTGGACCTGTGTATTTTGTACAGAGAACTGCTGTGCTGGTGACCCATGGGGCTCCTCTGCCTGGGAATCTCCTGGTCTGTGGGCAATAAAAATCCATCTGGAAATGCAGCATCCACTCACCCTCCACGCTTTTGCTTGGAGCTGCAATCCTGAGCTGCTCCTAATCGGCCATCTTGGATCTGTCCCTTATTTATTTATTTATTTGAGATGGAGTCTCACTCTGTCCCCTAGGCTGGATTGCAGTGGTATAATCTTGGCTCACTGCAACCTCCACTTTCTAGGTTCAAGCAATTCTCCTGCCTCAGCCTCCTGAGTAGCTGGGATTACAGGTGCACACCACCAGGCCCGGCTAATTTTTGCACTTTGAGTAGAGACAGTATTTCACCATGATGGCCAGGCTCGTTTCGAACTTCTGACCTCAACTGATCCACCCACCTTGGCCTCCCAAAGTGCTAGGATTCCGAGTGTGAATCACTGCACCTGGCCTCGTCTGCATTTTTAAATTGCTTTTGTAGATGGGCAGTTCTTGTTTTATTTGCTACTTTTTTCGCCCCCATCAGTAGCCTTTCTGAAGGAAGGAATGTGTCTTTGTACTGTTTGGTTCAGCTTTTGTCACTGGCTTTTATCACGATAGGCTTGGCTACCTGCTGATCAAATATGCAGATCCCTGGGTAGGACAGCAGCTATGTTGGATGACAGAAATCAGGCTCCCAATTGTTGGGTAAACAGGACTCGACATGGAACTAAAGATGATGAAATGCAAAAGTGTAGAAAAACAAAGCAAAGCAAAATATATATAAGATGAGGAAGATGAGGACACCTCATGGGAAAAAGCCTTTGAGCTGACACTGTGTGTGGCCGTTGAGTATTAAAAAAATGTTTTTAAACCTCGGACTACTCATCTGCAAAATAATCTTTCATTCAAATATTTATGAAATGCTTATTTAAGAGGCATTATTCCAGGAACTGAGGGCACAATAATGAACAATACAAAGCCCCATCCCTCTCCTCACTGAGCTTACATTCTAGAAGGGGAGAAAGAGAATACATACATAATATGAGGTAGTGATGTCCGCGGTGGCTCACGCCTGTAATCCTAGCACTTTGAGAGGCTGAAGCAGGCAGATCGCCAGAGGTCGGGAGTTCAAGACCAGCCTGACCAACATGGAGAAACCTTGTACAAAATTAGCTGGGCATGGGTGGCGGTGTATACGTGTAATCCCAGTTACACAGGAGGCTGAAGCAGGAGAACTGCTTGAATCCGGGAGACGGAGGTTGCAGTGAGCTGAAATCTCGCCATTGCACTCCAGCCTGGGCAACAAGAGCAAAACTCATCTCAAAAACAAGCAAACAAACAAAAAACCAAAATAGAATACTCATATAAAGCACTTAAAATAGTACCTGGCATTCCAATAGCCTAAAAGTAGAAAGAGCCCAAATGTTCATCCACTGCTGAATGACTAAACATGGTGTGTCCACACAATGGAGTATTATTCAGGCATAAGAAGGAATGAAGGAGCGATACATGCTATAACCTGGATGAACCCTGAATGTTTTGCTAAGTGAAAGAAGTTACACACAAAAGGCCACAAGCTGCATGATTCCATTTATAGGAAACATCCAGAACAGGTGAATCCACAGGGACCAAAAAAGCAGACGGCCGGGACTGCAAGGTGTCAGGGAGAGGGATTAACTGCTTGAGGGGCAGATGCAAGGTTCTCTTTTGGAGTGACAGAAATGTCTTCTGGAGCCAGACAGAAGTGATGGTTGTACAACACTGCGGATGCTATCAAACGTTACTAACGGTAAACTTTGTTATGAGAATTATACCACATAAGAATATATATATTTTCATAGCAAAATGAACAAAACTACCTCTCAAACAGGAAATCACCTAAGTAAATTATTAAATACATTTTTAGGCCAGGCACAGTGGCTCATGCCTGTAATCCCAGCTCTTCTTGGAGGCTGAAGAGGGTGGATCACTTGAGATCAGGAGTTCAAGACCAACCTGCCTAAGATGGTGAAACCCCATCTCTACCAAAAATACAAAAATTAGCCAGAAATGGTGGTGGGCACCTGTAATCCCACCTACTTGGGAGGCTGAGGCATGAGAATTGCCTGAACCTGGGAGGCAGAGGTTGCAACGAGCCAAGATTACTCCATTCCACTCCAGCCTGGGCAGCAGAGCATGACTCCATCTCAAAAAAAAAATTTTTTTTTTTTTAATAAAATAATCTGGAATGCCATGCAGCCTTTGAAGAGCATGAACATGACCCATAAGTACTAACATGGACAAATGTCTGATACACTTAGTGATAATAAGCTTCATATCAACATATATGGTATGACTTATGTTAAAACACACATGCTCACCTATAATCCCAGTGATTTTGGAGGCTGAGATGGGAAGATTGCTTGAGGACAGGAGTTTGAGGCCAGCCTGGGCAACATTACAAAACCTCGTCTCCACAAAAATGGAAAGAAGTAGCCAGGGTTGGTGGTGCGTGCCGATTAGTCCCACCTACTCAAGAGGAGGCCAAGACGGGAGGATCACTGGAACCCAGGAGTGTGAGGCTGCAGTGACTGATGATAGGTGCCACTGTCCTCAAACCTGGGCAAGAGTGAGATTCCACCTCTAAAACAAAAACAAAAATATAAAATAGGTTGGGCGCGGTGGCCCACGCCTGTAATCCCAGCACTTTGAGAGGCCAAGGTGGGTGGATTACCTGAGGTCTTGAGTTCGAGACCAGCCTGGCCAACATGGTGAAACCCCATCTCTACTAAAAATACAAAAGTTAGCCAGGTGTGGTGGCAGGCACCTGTAATCCCAGCTACTTGGGAGGCTAAAGCAGGAGAATCATTGAATTGGGGAGGCAGAGGTTGCAGTGAGCTTACATTGTGCCACTGCACTCCAGCCTGGGTGACAGAGCAAGGCTCTGTCTCAAAAGAATGAAAATAAAATATACATGTTCATGCACAGATATGTGTCTAGAAAATGACTGGAAGGATAATACAAGAAAACTGAGAAGGGTGGTCATCTCTGGGGCAGGTAATGGTTCCCCTCTTTTTTTTTAAACTTCATACCATTCTGTATTAATTTTGTGTGTGCACAATATATAGCACTTTGGGGTTTTTAAAGGGTAAGTTCAGAGTTAATAGTGTGACATGGCAGTCAAAAAATCCAAATCTGCTCCTAGGTGGCATCACTAGAAATGCAGAATCTAGAAATTGGGAGGTAATCACCAGATTTCAGAATTAGATGTATGGGCTCTATAACCCTTATGAGGAGTCAAGCTTGTCACTTTCTCAGTGTAAGAATTCTTTAGTGTCCGGGAGAGGTTTCTGCACATGGTCACAGAGACAAGGCAAGTTCTGCTTCACAGAGTGCAGAGCGCACCCGCGGTGGTCACCAAATATTTGCTCAGCATTCTCAGAGTCCCAAACACCATGTAAGGCAAATGATGTTTTGAGCTTTTTTTTTTTTTTGAGACGGAGTTTCGCTCTTGTTACCCAGGCTGGAGTGCAATGGCGCGATCTCGGCTCACCGCAACCTCCTCCCCCTGGGTTCAGGCAATTCTCCTGCCTCAGCCTCCTGAGTAGCTGGGATTACAGGCACGCGCCACCGTGCCCAGCTGATTTTTTTGTAATTTTTAGTAGAGACGGGGTTTCACCATGTTGACCAGGATGGTCTCGATCTGTTGACCTCGTGATCCACCCACCTCGGCCTCCCAAAGTGCTGGGATTACAGGCGTGAGCCACCATGCCCGGCCTGAGCTTTTGTTTAGCCTTTCTCCTTAACTTGTTAAAGAATGCTTTAAAAAATGCAATTAATAGGCTGGGCATGGTGGTTCATGCCAGCACTTTGGGAGGCTGAGGCAGTTGGATCACCTGAGGTCAGGAGTTTGAGACCAGCCTGGCCAACATGGTGAAACTCCTTGTCTAATGAAAGTACAAAAATTAGCCGGTTATGGTGGCATCTCTACCAAAAGGTGTCTGTAATCCCAGCTACTCGGGAGGCTGAGGCAGGTGAATCACTTGAACCTGGGAGGTGGAGGTTGCAGTGAGCCAAGATTGCGCCACTGCACTCCAGCCTGGACAACAGTGATCGACTCTGCATCAAAAAGAAAAAAAAAAAAATTCAATTAATAGAGGAGCATAAGATAATATTAAAGAAAATCCATCCACAAGCCTGAACTCTTAAAAAAAAAATCATTTTATTGATCCTTTACCATACAAAATTTATTCAAATTACACCCATTTGAAGTGGTAAGATCACAGCTAGAGAACAGGTCACCCTGTAACAAATCTATTTACAAAATCCATCATAAAAGCTTTTTTTTGTTGTTTTTTTTTTACATTATATTACATATTTTCTTTTTTTAAACTAGCATACAACACAAAGCTAAACTTATTAGTAGATTGCCTACTCCCAGTTCTGGGAGAAATACTTCCTTTTTACAAAAATCACGTACCCCGTAGGAAAAGAAATTCCCACACCCTGACAACTGCCACCCGACTTACTCTGCAAGCCGTCTTCCTTCAGATCCCTCCTTCTCATACACGAGTTGTCATGCACACGCTGAATTCCTATTTTCTTTTTCCTGAAAGCTTAAGCTTTAAATACTGCAATTTTATTTACAGATCTACACGTCCAACAGAAATGAAAACAAGAACCATGACAAAGAACAAAAAAACAAAAACAAAACAACACTCTTAAAAAAATTACAGACCAGCTAGAAAGTATTCTGGCAGTGTTTACAAATTAATTGCTATTTCTGTACAAAACTGCTAAATAATGAACATGTGAGTAGACTACAACCAACTTAAATAAAACAATTGCTATGCACAACTCTGTACATATAAACACATACCTAACACTGTTTGACAGCTCACGTGTTGCCTTTTATACATTTTATTTTCTAAGGCTCACACAGTCATAATTCGCACACTTGTAACTTTTAGCCATTTCATGTGTGAGCTTTTAATAGCAGCAACTCAATGGTACCAGGAAACCTGCAACTTAGTACTTAAAGTAACACGAATACTATAGTACTAACCCACATTGTGTGCCGGATACTACGTCAAAAAGACAGTGACTTAATGAAAACAGAATACAGTATGGACATCTAATTAATGTACACCAGTTAAGCCCAGTAACTGGAAAAAAAAAAAAATCTATGCATGAAGGAACTTTTAAGACTTATTAGTATTCCTTTCATTTTTAAAACAATAAATACGGCATGACATTCTGAAAAATTTCAACAAAACACACAACAATCTAGCCAGGTGAGCTCAGTCTTTAGACTTTGGAAAAAATCAGCTTTGTGCAGCTGGCAAAGAGAATTACACAAAGCTGGAAGCAGAGGCAGCTAACCAGATGAGATAAATATGGGAAATGGGGAAAAGCTTGGCATAAATGGTTTCCCATACAGGAAAAAACCCCACAGTGCATTTCCAGTAGGCACTTAACACAAAGCTCCCTCTCCCTCCCCCACCCCAACGCTTCATCTCGGACCACACCGACATTCGGTACCAAGTCCAGTGTGTGTGAGGGGAGGAGGCCAGGGATGGAGGCTGAAGAAGAAAAAAGGAAGATCGTCTGCACCTTTGTTTTTCTTCCCAAACATACACCCACGCATACCCACACACAGAGTTTAAAGTGCTGGTGTCATCTGTCTTGACCCCACCACCACTTTGCATATTGTGGAAATCTACCTGGAGTAAACTGGCTGGGGCTCTTGTGGTTTTCTGTTTGTGTTTTTTTTTCCCCCTAAGGGACATTTTCAATGCAATTAAACATGAGTTGAGTGCCTACTACGTGCCTCCCACTGGGTCAGGCACATAGCATTTCAATCTAACTGTTCATTTTGAGGTTTGTTCTTGATCTGACTCCCTCATTCCCGCAGTCCTCGGCATCCAAGGAACGGACCAGAGATACTACGCCGTATTCCCAGGGGGAGATGGCGACTGCCGCCTGCCCGAGGGAAAGCCATCCTTGGACGTAACCGGTAGGATTTGCAGCTGACACAAAGCCTCCAACTTGGGACACCATTCCTGAACGCTAAAGCGGAAGATGCCCTGTCATTCTTTTGCTTCATTTTCTACGTTCCCGACTTCCCTTGGTCCAACTTGTTCCTTCACGGAGGAAGGGGAACGGGGTCTGGCCAGAACTATTCCAGCCCCCGACACAGTGGGAGCTCCCTGTTCCTGCCAGCTTAAGGAAATGCCACTCACACAACGGGGATGTCTTTCTCCCTAGAGGTCTCTCCATCTGACCCCATCCTGAGAAGTGGTCTCCCTGAGTGCGGTGTAAGAGAGCCCTTTCCCCGGTCACAGGGGCCCGGGAAACCCAAGGATGGAGGGACCCATGCCTGCTGCTCCTTGGGGCTGTCACATCATCTGACCTGGTTCTCCTTGCCAGTGGACACCCATGTCAGCAAGCCCCAGGACTGACTCGCTCCAAGCTCCCCCTCCTGGGAACGGAAGCACAATGGGACAATGCTCCTTGCAGAGGCTGGTAAACCTTAGATCACACAGGTTTAGATGCTCTGATCAGTAGAGGTTCTCTCCCTCTGCTTGTGTAATGTGAATTTGCAAAAACCGCTTCAGAGTAAACAATTAAATTGAAAGGGTGATGGGTGCCACAGGCATGCTTAAACGGCAGCTAAAAGAACAAGTCTAAAACAATCCGCCAAGAACGAAGGAGGCAATTGCTACAAATCAACTGGAAACACAAATACACTGGAGACAGGGGGACCGGAGTGGTTCACGGAGACAGGAAAATCCACAACAGCTCAGAGTGGCAGAACTCTACTAGTCTTCTGTATCTGCAACAAGGACATTTGAAAACAGGTTCTCCATCCAGAAGGCTGTGGAGGTTTTCTTGACCTCCTACTGGGACACGCAGTCCATAGCTTACACTGAATTAGGACAGTAATTTAAATATTCCTAAGAAGAGCTGAGGAAATCCATTTCATACTTTTGCATGACTTCAAGTTTGCATTTGCTGCAGTTCCATTCCATATTAGCAGACCCCAAAGACATGCATTCTGCAGAGAAGGCACGGCTTGAAATGCTATTAAGGAAGAGTGCTGTTTCCCAGTGGGCCAGGTGGCCAGACCCCTTTCTACAGCCCATCCGTCAGGCACAGCAAGCCAATCTGGGAAGGAAGGAGGAAGGAAAAGTCGGGGTGAGAGACACCTGATTGCACATTTTCTCACTTGCTGACTTAGCCAGGAGATCTTGGAGCCTGGAGCAAAGCAAGGCTCTCCCAAGGGAGCCTGCAACTGTGCGTTTAGACACTTTGTTTATTAATTAAAAAAAAAAAAAAAAATTCACTAAAATGTCAGCTTTCTTCTGAAGTTTGTAGTTAACTTCATGATACTCTCTTGGAGGAAGAAGGTAGGAAGGGACAACACTGCATGACAGATGTTCTGGTTCCATAATAAAAAAATACCGGTTTGTAAGGAGAGGTCTCCCGAAGTGTGATCAGCTACACATGAAGTCTTCCACCAGTGGGAGCTTTTCCAGATCATAAGCTTCAAAGAGATCGCTGATGCCTTCCTCCTCCCCGAGGCTCAGGAGATAGTCCTCTTGCAGCAGGGGAGGCAGTAAGTTCACAAACGGCCCTTCTAGGCTGGAAGGAATTTGGTCCTCAGTCTGCTGTAAGAGGTTGGATGGGGAGGCCAGAGGAGAAAGGTTTCCCATAGAAATTGAGCAATCGCTATGTCCTGAGTTGGTTGAAGCCAAGTCTGAAAGGAAAACATTGGTGGAAACAAAAAATAAGTTAGAAAAATCAAATGAATTTTTCTGGAAGAATGTATATGTCGCTGTCAGAAAAAAGCGTGTACTTTCTGCAAATAACAACGATGAGATGACTCTGTGACCCAGATCACCTTTTATGCTAACAGGTACAAAAAAATTCCTTGTCAGCACCTCACCTTTTATTTTTGAGACAGGGTCTTGTTCTGTCGGCTGGAGTGCAGTGGTGTGATCATGACTCACTGTAGTCTTGAACTCCTGGGCTCAAGGGACCCTCCCACCTCAGCCTCCCAAGTAGCTGGGACCACAGGTGTGAGCCACCATGCCTGGTTTATCTTTGTATTTTTTTTTTTTGAGACGAAGTTTCATTCTTGTTGCCCCGGCTAGAGTGCAATGGCACAGTCTCAGCTTACTGCAATATCTGCCTCCCAGGTTCAAGCAATTCTCTTGCCTCAGCATTCTAAGTAGCTGGGATTAGAGGCACCAGCGAGTATACCCAGCTAATTTTTGTATTTTTAGTAGAGAGGCAGTTTCACCATGTTGGCCAGGCTGGTATCGAACTCCTGATCTCAGGTGATCTGCCCATCTAGGCCTCCCAAGGGCTGAGATTACAGGCATGAGCCACCACGCCTGGATAGTCTTTGTATTTCTTTGTAGAGACAGGGTTTCACCATGTTGCTCAGTCTGGTCTCGAACTCCTAGGCTCAAGTGATCTTACCTTCCTCAGCCTTCCAAAGTGCCGAGTCACCCCGCCCGGCCATCTTTCTGTGGCCCTAGTCTACTCAATCATCTTCCAAATAGCTACTGTCAATAAGCAAGAATGCAGATAGCTTCAATGATCAGAGGCTAACAAGTTCAAAAATGTCTCTCTGCTAACTAGTCACTGTTTTAAGAAAATCAAAACAAAACATATACATACTGAAAAGCTGGCTTCCCAGTAGAAACTCACCAACTGAAAAAAAAATTTATTTTATTTTATTTTTTTAAGAGAAGGGGTCTTGCCACATTGTCTATGCTGGTGTGCAGTGGCTATTCACAGGCATGCGGGGCTCACTCTAGCCTTGAATTCCTGGGCTCAAGCTGCCTCAGCCTCCCTGTAGCTCAAACTACATGCAGAATCACTGCTTTTAACTCAGTCTTTTCTGAACAACCAGCTTATTAAAAACATCTCTAAAAGCACATATAATAAGACATGTCCACCTTGGATTTCTGTGGTGAAAAAAGATGGCCTTTAGTTTTGCCATTTCAGGTGCTGTACTTTTGCTTAGTATTAAATCAGACTTAGTCACTTAAATCAACCTTATTCTTGCTGCTATATAGGGAGACAATCAGGAAAAAAAATTGCATATATATTCCCAAGCCAGGAAATGGAAAAGAATATATACTGCAAAGAGCTTCCTTTGCTCTTTGCAGAGTGGGAAGGAAAACTTAGACGTACTTTCCTAGTGTTCTCCTCCCATGTCCTTTCCCCATCTCATTGGGGGGAAAAATAAGACAAAAATTCTTCAACAAAGGCTTTTCTCTTCAAACTTTTTTTTTTTTTAAATATGGTGTCTCGCTCTGTCGCCCAGGCTGGAGTGCAGTGGCGCCATCTCGGGTCACTGCAACCTCCACCACCTGGTTTCAAGCAATTCCCTTTCTCAGCCTCCCAAGTAGCTGGGATTACAGGCGCCCACTGCTACGCCCAGCTAATTTTTGTATTTTTAGTAGCATGGGGTTTCACCATCTTGGCCAGGCTGGTTTTGAATTCCTGACCTCGGGATCCAACCGCCTCGGCCTCCCAAAGTGCTGGGATTACAGACGTGAGCCACCGCTCCTGGTCTTTTCAAGCCTTTTTCGTTTCCCTCTCTGATGAGCTGTGCAGTGTCACTCAAAGGAGTGTGCTCAAGTGTCTCTGATGATCCACCAAGACAGTTCACAGCTTTGCTCCTCACTTCAGCTGGTTTTCAAAAATGCTGCAAGGAAACGTTCTCTGCCAACAGCAAATGCCCGAAGCCACTCCCTGAGTGGGTGAAGGAGCCGTTTTCCCCAAATCATTATTTTATTCTGTAAACCAGCCAGAATGTCTTTTAAAATATGTTACCTAATAACAATACAAGGTTTTGTTTCTTGACTAGGCTTGTGGTTCCAATACAGACAGTTCCAGTCACCTTCATTTTTAACATAGTTTCCAAAAGACAAAAGTGGAATTCTTCTTACCTTTGGAAGTGGGTTTAGGGATATTCCCATTGTGGTCTTGGTTGCTTGTTTTCATTGGACTGTGTGTTTCAGTCTCTTCTGGACATAAGTAAACCTCAATGGGCCCTTGGGTACTTGCCAAATGTATTTGTAGGCTCTAGAACAGAAGTGGGAGAAGTTTGAATCAGAAGTTCTTTTAGAAATAAAAGCCATAGTAATTTTCATCTAAAAATGGAAAGTAAGAACAACGTTCATTGTTCACTTGCTTCTTCTCTGCTAGTCCAACTCTATCAAAGACTGTCATCTTCTAGCGCAGGGGTCAGCAAACCATAGCCTAAGGGCCAAATCCAGTTCACCCACTGGGTTTGTAAATAAAGTTTTATTGGAAGAGAGTCACACCCATTTCCATTGTTTATTATTGCCTCTGGCTGTTTTCATATTACAATGGCAGAGGTGCACAGCTGAATAGTGTGCAGACCGTAAGGCTCACAAAGCAAAAGATATTTACAATCTACCTGGCACTTTAATTAAAAAGTTTGCTGAGTCTTGCTCTAGAGAAAGAAAATTTTTTTGTGGGGAGCAGGGAGTCAGTCTGAAAATGGCACAATGGGTGAGGTGAATTGTGTTCTTTGGATATATTCTTTTTCTGTAAATTATTAAAAGGTCTTTTAAATGTTCCAAATCCAGTATTTCCATGTTATTGTTCCTTTATGGTAGGACTTCTTCATGTTGAACTGTAATAACCAAGTGATGTATTCTTAAGTGCTAGGAACTGCATCTATGAAGAGAATGCAGCACACTAACATTTAAAAATCTTTTTCATCTAGGTCAAAGAGCTATTATTATCTTTTAAGGCAAGAAGTCTACCCTGGATGGAAGCATGTAACTTTCATTCTCTTTTTATCTCCTATGCATTTTCTTTTTACTACATCTCTTTATGTCATACTTGTAGTCTAGGCTCTATTATCCAAGTATATCTGAAAATCGTAAAACTATGCCCCCTACTTTCTTACAATATTCTGGTCTATCAACTAACCCAAAGCCCCGTTTGATCTCTTAAAATGTTATAAGTTAGAGAGAGACTTTAAAACATTTATATATCTGTTCGTGGTGCAAACCATATACAGGATAATCCATATAAACTTTTCAAAGTGGTTCAAGTTGATCAAAACCACCTGATGATGAATTATGAGAAAGAGAGAGTACAAGAGGGACAGGGCATCATATTCCACTTTGCACTGAACATCCCGCTAGGTCACAGTTAGATTGTCTGCATACTCAATGGATATCAAACTGTTAAAATGTTTTTAAGCGTATGATTAAATGAAATGAATTGGAAAGAACCATCAAGTTCTTGGGGTAGGGGGACAGACTTTAACTATGAGTCAATGACTCTTCAATTTCAGGCATTCCAAAAGATCTCCGCAGATGAACAAAGATGCTGTCTCCTTACCTCTATTGAGTCAGGCACTTCAAGTCTTGTTTCTGGAGGGGCTTTCACAACTATAACAGTTTGGTCTTTAAGGCCACTAATTTTTCGAATATCTTGATATGTAACATAAGCTAACGTAAAGAGTGTCAAGGAATCTTCCATCTAATGACCTCAGATATAAGTAAGATGAAAATGACAAAATAGATGCATAGAATATTTCAAAGTATTTTATGACTTAAAAGTATACATATGTCTTCCCTTCTGGACCTGGAAGTGCTTAGGGCCTCCCATGAAACTTCTTTTCTGGTTGACACTCTAAGCAACTAAAGAAATGAACAGCTTTATCCCACCCATTTCTTTCTTTTTTTTTTTTTTTTTGAGATGGAATTTTGCTCTTGTTGCCCAGGCTGGAGTGCAATGGCAGGATCTCGGCTCACTGCAACCTCCGCCTCACAGGTTCAAGTGATTCTTCTGCCTCAGCCTCCCAAGTAGCTGGGATTACAGGCACGCACCACCATGCCCAGCTAATTCTGTATTTTCAGTAGAGACAGGGGTTTTCTGTATTGGTCAGGCTGGTCTCGAACTCTCAACCTCAGCTGATCTGCCCAACTCGGCCTCCCAAAGTGTTAAGAATATGGGTGTGAGCCACTGTGCCCGGCCTATCCCACCCATTTCTAAAAAGACTGTGGCTATTTAAAATATTAAACACACAAACAGAATAGTTAAAATAAATGATCATATGAAAATCAAAAACCACTTAGGTGAGAACTTTTATCTTGAAGCCACAGTACTTGGCAGCACAGATATTCGATGAACGCCAATCAAGTGTTCTGTTACTCAAACTGAATGATGGCAGATTTCAATTTGCAGGGAAAAAAAAGTTAATCTCTATTAGCCGTAATTTTTTTGAAACTCCAGTTACTTCTATCTGTAAGCAAGTGTCAGCAGCCACCAAACAAATAAATAAGTAACAGATATGTTAGTGGAAGAACTCAGATACTGCTCAGGCAGACAGCTTGTTTTCTTAAGTGTTCCAGGGCTGCTTGTGATTTTGTATTGCTTACAAAGAGCGTCATTATTTCTGTTAGAAAAATCATCCTTTGGTACTATGCTGACTCCATCAATATTTCAGCGTTCACGGGGAAGAAAACAGTTTCCAGGTGCTCTGCGAAACACTGATGTAGGAAGTAACTACCAGGAGTACTGAGATAGTATTCTTTTTTTTTTTTTATTTTAAAATATAATTTCTTTTTTCTTTTTTTTTCTTTTTTATTGCATTTTAGGTTTTGGGGTACATGTGCAGAACATCCAAGACAGTTGCATAGGTACACACATGGCAGTGAGTTTTGCTTCCTTTCTCCCCTTCACCCATATTTGGCATTTCTCCCCAGGCTATCCCTCCCCAGCTGGCCCTCCCCTTTTCCCCCCAATAGACCCCAGTGTTTAGTACTCCCCTCCCTGTGTCCATGTGTTCTCATTTTTCATCACCCGCCTGAGTGACAATATGCGGTATTTCATTTTCTGTTCTTGTGTCAGTTTGCTGAGAATGATGTTCTCCAGATTCATCCATGTCCCTACAAACGACACGAACTCATCATTTCTGATTGCTGCATAATATTCCATGGTGTATATGTGCCACATTTTCCCAGTCCAGTCTATCATCAATGGGCATTTGGGTTGGTTCCAGGTCTTTGCTATTGTAAACAGTGCTGCAATGAACATTCGTGTGCGTGTGTCCTTATAGTAGAACGATTTATAGTCCTTTGGATAGTATTCTTTCCTCTTTAGAAACACTGATTTAGGAAAAGAGAAAAGAATACTATCTCAGTACTCTTGGTAGTTACTTCTTTTTTCTTTTTGAGACAGAGTCTTGCTCTGTCACCCAGGCTGGAGTGCAGTGGCGGAATCTCAGCTCACTGCAACTTCCACCTCCCATATTCAAGCTATTCTTGTGCCTCAGCTTGCCTCCTGAGCAGCTGGGACGAGAGGTACGCACCACCACACCTGACTAATTTTTTGTATTTTAAAAGAGATGGTGTTTCAGCATTTTGCTCAGGCTGGTCTTAAACTCTTGGCCTCAAGTGATCCCTGCCTCCAGCCTCCCCAAGTGCTGGGATTACAGGTGTGAGCCACTGTGCCTGGCCTTGGCAGTTTTTCTCTAAGCACTGAACAATTCTTTAAAATGTCCTGGCAGCCAAGTCTAAAGGCTATCATGAAAGAACATGGTACTTATGATATGCCAAAAGTATTGAAGTGAGCTTGACACTTGGCACTAAAAAAGAAAAGTCTGCATGGCTTTCTTAAATAAGGGACATGGAGTAAACAATTAATGGACAGTGTCTTTAGCCAGTTATTATTTTTTATATGAACGAAAAATTCCTAACACAACAAGTAACAAACCAACGAAGGCATTTCAGCAGCTAGTATAATGTATATAATAGCTGAGAGTCTGTGATCTAATATGCTTAATATTTTTTTAAAGGGGGCGGGGCTTAGAGAGCCTAGAAGAAATTACGTCCCTTACAATAGTAGCTCTTTTTTGTTTGAGATGGAGTCCCACTCTGTCACCCAGACTGGAGTGCAGTGGCTCCGTCTCAGCTCACTGCCACCTCTGTCTCCCAGGTTCAAGCGAATTACGTGCCTCAGCCTCCCAAGAAGCTGGGATTACAGGCGCCTGCCACCGTGCCTGGCTAATTTTCTGTATTTTTAGTAGAGACGGGGTTTCACCATGTTGGCCAAGCTGGTCTTGAACTCCTGACCTTGAGTGATCCGTCCGCCTCAGCCTCCCAAAGTTCTGGGATCACAGGGGTGAGCCACCATGCCCAGCTATAGTAGCTTCTTATTAGAAACTGAAGGCAGCTATGAAACTACTCCTCTAGGAAAAAAAGCACATTCACACAAAAGCTGCATACACATGTAGAGCATCTATCAGACCATCTCCTTCAAATCTTTGTTGTTGAGTTGATGGCTAGTTCAGTGTTGAGCTGATAGTGGCTGCTCTTGCAGGATTCTGGATTTTAGGTCACTACATATACCATCAAAGAAGCCAACGGATGCCTTTATAGAGGGCCAGGCAGTTCTAAATTTTACTGACAATCAGGTACTTACACTACAGCCCACTGTCAAAAAAGCGGTATGACAAGAACTTAGTGAAATAAAAACTCATCGCTTCTCGGCCTTTTGGCTAAGATCGAGTGTCATAGAAAAACTCATCTACAATTACTCAACATGCTGCAGGAAGGAAAATTTCAACACATTTGTGAACAAGCTGTACCGATTTGGGAACTGAATGGTGAATTGAAATACATTGTGCAAATATATTTTCTAATCTTACAAACTTAAAAGTGCTTCCTTTGCGGCTCCCTCCCAAATTTACTCCTTAGGTTCTAAGTTCCCTGCAAGGAAGCTTTCATTTTCTGTAACAAAGGCCCCAGAGAAAGCTAATATAGGTGACAATGCCATAGGCCACATGTCCCGGAAGGCTGCCAGTCACGTGTAACCACCCGTCTCTTCCACAATGGGGCTCCTAACCAAACAGTGAATATAACAGCCCAACCGTTGGTTTCTTCCCCTATAAACCCACTTTGCCCACCACTGGGGGTCCGAATCACTACACCTCTCTTCCATCTCACTAATTATTGGCTGACAAGGTTAATTCTTTGGTCAACAGGAAATCAACAACTGCAGCTTTGAAAAGCTGCCAACATTGGAAGAAAATAAATACCTGCATATCCTCCAAGGGGGAGCCTGTAAAAGATGAACCACTAGAAGAATCTGGGCAGAACGCAACTTTTGTCAAATAATGGCAAATGTGGGATCATGGGAACTTTGGAACTAAATCTAGGGATGCGATAACCTCTAGTATTGTCTTTTGCCTTCTAATAACGGAGAATGCTGGCGAGTCTTCTTGTTTGACATAACGAGGCGATCTCTCCCTCGTTTGACATAACGAGGTGATCTCTCTCTTGTTTCGTCTGTAGTCAGGTGATAAAGAGCAAGTTTTCCTGAGATCATCAACAGATTGTCCGGAAGCTGAGAACAAGAACTGACCTTGTGTATTTTATTTCCAAGGACTCATGTTCGGAGTGGAACAGATGAATTGAAAGGAGTTTCTCAGGTCTTGGGGGGTGCTTCTGAAATCAATTTTTTGTACTGGGAATCGGCAGAGTACACTTTAAGAGTTACAGTATAATTGTTCTCTACTCTTTCGAACCCTTTATAGCCCAATCAGATAGATTCAACCAATTTCAATTGCTACAGTATCTGGCGAAAAGAAAATAGAATGTGAGAACCCCAACAGTGACAGCTAACACCCACCAAAAATCTGGGAAGCCAAAGACGAATCTGCTTAGTGTTGTCATTAATATTGATACCGACGACACCTTATGCATCTTTTAATAGTGTGGCCTTACGCTATGAGTCTACCCATATGTCGCAAACACACGTGAAAAAAACGCTTTAAAAAACAGTTCCCACCTGGTATCAAAATAGATCATAACAGGATCGAGTTGGTGACGACCTTACCATACATAGTGACTTTTTAGGCAAAGCGAACTTGGTTTGCACACACGTGCATACACACACATGCAGGCACACGTGTTCTCATTTGCGTGACTGAATCGAAGTAACAATCTCCCTCGTGCATAAGTCAGATTGTCCACTCTGGAAATAGTCTAGGAAGCACTAACCCCCAGTGAACCGGTGGCACAAAGGATATCTTTGATTCTCTGAATCCTCGGTTAACAGTTTGAGGTCCAGGGTGCAGCTTTGGATCAGTTCATCTAATTTCTTCTCTTCCTGACTGAGCTCGGTCACTTCTTTTGACAGGCCTTGACACTGGGCCAGCATGCCCCCATCCTCAGACAGACTGCAGCCCCTAGAAGCCCAAACACAGACTGTTCATGGCTACTCATGGGAGGGAGGGGAAGGAGAAATGGTCCTTTGGGTAAATGTCTCCTCTCGACACAGGAGGTCGCATTGCTTGTTAGCCAAGTGTTAAATTTACGACATGTATACATATATATATTTTCTCGTAAATACAGTCCTGCACTTTCCACAGCATAGAAATTGAGTGAAAGACCACTGCTATTTTCAGCGTTCTTTCCTCCAGGGGAGGCCTATGTCTTCAGAAGGTTCAAATTCAGAGGGCAAAAGAAGGCAACCACCTGCCTCCCCGCCCCCTGGCTCCCAGGTGGAAGGGGGAAGAAAAGGGAAAGAGGATAAAAAGATAAAGACAGGGAAGATGGAGTGATTAAAAAAAAAAATCCAAAAAAGCATGAAAAACCCAGGTAATTACTGAGGGTCTTATACCAACAACTAAAAAGGAAGTAAAGGAAACAGATGTATGCGAGAACTGAGACCAGAACCCAATATGTTTCCGTAAACCAGAGGCCAAAACGGGTTCCCAAACCGTCACAAAGTTCCGAAAAGCGCAAGAAAGGTACCTGCGCATCTTCTATCTGAATTAGTATTTTTTCAAAGCCCTCCTATAACAGAATTATTCCTTCCAAAATACTTTAATAGTTCAATACTGTGCTTACAATTGCTGCCAATTTAGATGCTCTAAAATTCACAATATATTACCATATATGTGATCATACGTGTGGGCGTACAAGTATCACGCTGCCATCCCTGCTCTACAGATGAAATGGAGGTGTTTGAGTCTTGCCTTAGTTTACACAGAAAGTGAGTTAATCTGCTGTTAGAACTGTGGATAAAGGTACTTGTGTACATATACACAAGATGTACAACTGCATAATCCCATAAGCCATCATCTCCAGATTCTTTTTTTTTTTTTTTGGAGACAGTCTTTCTCTGTTGCCAGGCTAGAGTGCAGTGGAATCTCTGCTCACTGCTACCTTCGCCTCCAGGGTTCAAGCGATTCCCCTGCCTCAGCCTCCTGAGTAGCTGGGACTACAGGCATGCGCCACCACGCCCGGCTAATTTTATTTTTATTTTTAGTAGACACAGGGTTTTACCAAGTTGGCCAGGATGGTCTCGATCTCCTGACCTTGTGATCCACCCACCTTGGCCTTCCAAAGTGCTGGAATTACAGGCGTGAGCCACCGTGCCCGGCGCTCACATTCTTATTAGGAGCAGGCTGAAGACGTGTACCCGTCTGTGAGATACACATATGGGCGCACACACAGCAGCGTAACAGGTGAACAGCATTCCAGGTTCCCACTGCAGGGACCTTTCCAGGCTCCCCGTGCTTGACGGTTATCAAATAGAAATCCTTCTCTCTCTGACAGTATCTAAACCAAGTCTCTCTGTAAGGAGACTTCGACCTTCCGGCTTAGAAGCCGAGGAGGGAAGAGAGAGGAAAACAGCTGGAGAGAAAAGAAAGAACGTGTGGGCATGTATGTGAAAGCGGGAACTAAGAAACGAGGCAGTTTGAAGTGACCCCCTCAGAGCCAGGGCACGGGGACGGCTCCTACTCACATCCACTGGACGTTGTTCTTAGACTTCTTCTTAATGAGGTGGATGCCTTCCAGAACGTTGGTGATATCATAAATCCTTCTCTTTTGCACTTTGAGCACTTCTGCTGCCTTGTTCAAATCCAAGACCCCATCGGGTGACTGGCTCAGGAGCTGAATGAACTTCTTGGTGAGCAGACCAAGGGACGTATCATACCGCGTTTTTTCTGAGGGAGATTTTGGAGCTTAAAGAAAAACAGAAACCAAGCGGGTGGGGGATGGGGGAAAGGTGAAGAAATGAAGGGTGTCTGCAGTGAGGCAAGCTCTTTCCCGCTGCAGCCGAAGTATTAGTATCGGAAGCCCGGCTGTCGTTGCTGTTGTCGGCAAGTCGTGGAAAGCTATGGAAGTTCTTTATTAGAAAAGTAAGGGACAGTAAAAATGCCAGGATTTCATGAAAGCACTTTACCTTGAAGGTCTCAAGAGTTTCTACCTTGGCTTACACTAGTCCCTGGCTCTAATCAAGAATTTACACATAGTGGGTGCTAAAAAGTGATCTGTCAAATGAATGAGAGTGCTGTGGTCTCAGGGGACCAGGACACATGGGGCCTACCATGCTGGAGCGAGGCTATGAATCTCACCAGCACCGCAGGACAGGGTCTTAAACACACCCATCACAAATGGCCTTTCAGGCTCTGATATCTGTGTGTGCGTGTATCACCTGTTCACCAATTTTTCTTTTCTTTTCCTTTTTGTTTGGAGACGAAGTCTCACTCTGTTGCCCAGGCTGGAGTGCAGTGGCGAGATCTTGGCTCACTGCAAACTCCACCTCCCAGGTTCAAGCCATTCTCCTGTCTCAGCCTCTCGAGTAGCTGGGACTACAAGCACGCACCACCATGCCCAACTAATTTTTTTTTTTTTTTGGTATTTTTTAGTAGAGACGGGGTTTCACTATGTTGGCCAGGCTGGTCTTGAACTCCTGACCTTCTGATCTGCCTGACTCAGTCTCCCAAAGTGCTGGGATTACAGGCATGAGCCACCATGCCCAGCCCAATTTTTCAAATAATGCTTAGTTTGAGATATAATTACCTAGAAAAGCCTTCTGCCAAATCTCCCCATCTCTCTTAAAGGAAATTTCCTTATTTAAAATAGTACTTGTTCCCCCACAGGTGCACAGGTTAAGGTTTTAATTTAGTGTCACAGATAATTTGTGAATTGCCTAATGCATGAACTACAGGAGGAGCTAGAACAAAATCTAATTTAGCCCTTATGTTAAATGCAAACACACACATAAAGGACTATTTGGCTATTTCTAGCCTACGTTTCTCTCTCCCACAAGAAATGGTAATAGTATTCGATAGAAAGAAAACTGGCCTGCAATTTATTGGGCTCAATCAATTCTTTCATTTCCATACGCTGAGCTGGAGATTGAGGTCGGCACAGACATTAGTGACTCTGGCATAGTTCATGGACATCCAGTTTGCCTCAGACTCTGAAGCAATGTCCATTAAGGGAAGTTAAAATTAAATTTGATACAGAACGATGCCAAAAGCTCGCATTCGGAGTTGAAAAATGGAACTGCATACAGTTAAACGAAGCCTTCCCTTATGGTACCAGCGTGACTCTGTAGCCTTTCGCTGGTTGTCTGCTGACACTGTATTTATTTTTTTGGATAAGCACAGAAAGAAACGAAAAGGAACAAAACATGCCAGAATTATTCACACCTTGGCATCCTTCCGGCCATAAGCTTTGAAAGTTGGAAATTCCACACCGAGGAGAATAAGGAAAGAGAGGAAAGGATCCTTACTTTTTGGACTATCTGGACTTCGTAGTGCAGCTCTTCCTTTGCCCTTGGGGGTTTTTAAACCATCTGAGAGGTACTGGTGACCGCTTTCTCCTAGCTCCAGCCTTCGCTTTGCCTGTAATAAGAAAGTGCGATCTCTCGTCACCGGTCATATGGACAAGAACAAGAAGGGAGGCAGTTTGTGGGCTGGCCTGCCAAATGCTGCGGGCTCGTGCCAGCTCTCACCCCTCTGCTCCACCCCACTCAGCATCTTGTCACTCGCTAGAGCCAGGATTCTAGCACTGGAGGCCAGGCTGTCATGCACACTCACTTCACCTGCCATGATCGTCTGTCCACACCCAGATGGACAAACGCGGCGATCCTCTAGCATTAGGTTCAGCAGTCACTTTGTTCATTGATTCAACACATCATGTGCCCGGCATGGGGCTGGATGCTAAGAATATCGCAGGCGCCATGGGACTCTGAAATTGACTTTCCACAGTGACTCTCTCCTGCCCATCTCCTGTTCTCTGACCTGGGCTGGACCCCTTCCTTACGGACCCCCAAACACTCGGCGTTTATTTGTATCATGACACTTATTAGGTATTACCGTAAGACTTATCTGTTTCTCATTTCCTTTAAGGCAGGGACTGTTTCCCATTGATCTTTGTATACCCAATGCTTGGCACAGAGCCTGGGTTTCTGTAGATTTTCAATCACTCTCTCTATATACTGTATATTCAATGAGAGAAAGAGTAATTGAATAGTAACACAACTAGTCACAGACTACAAACGGTCCTTCATCAGAAAAACAAATACTGCAAACATGCAGTCTTGGGCTTCAACCAGTATTACTTTCTCCATTTTGTCACCAAGCCTGGCAGATGAGAAGCCCTTACCTAAGCTTTTAATTTAACTACAATTCAATTTTAAAACATCCACATAGGGCCTTCTAGGTACTAGGCGTTGGGCTTAGGGAACAGAGGTAAGCAAGACAGATAAGGGGCTTGAGTCCAAGAGAGAAGACTCAATTAAGCAGTTGTTAAGTACTAATTGTGTGCGTATGTCAGGCACCAATCAGATACTCAGCACAAAAATTCGTATTTAGGCTCATTTTCACGCAAATTCTCCTTTTCTTTTTTTTTGAGATGAAGTTTCCCTCTTGTCACCCAAGCTGGAGTGCAGTGGTGTGATTTCAGCTCACTGCAACCTCTACCTCCTGGGTTCAAGTGATTCTCCTGCCTCAGCCTCCGGAGTAGCTGGTACTACAGGCATGCGCCACCACATCCAGCTAATTTTTGTATTTTTAGTAGAGACCATGTTGGACACGATGGTCTCCATCTCTTGCCTCGTGATCCACCAGCCTTGGCCTCCAGAACTGCTGGGATTACAGGTGTGAGCCACTGCGCCCTGTCTATGGCAGATTCTTCTAATGAGGAGATTTGCAATTTCAAAACAACTCCCCAGGATGTGAAAATGTAAGCAATAACTTATTAGTGGAAGACATATCCATCTTCTCTGTGGAAAGTTACCAGCTAACCCTGCACCATCTACCAAGATAGCCACTGGTTTGCTAGCTCATCCAAACTGACACGTGCCGTAAGTGTAAAATAACACTGAATTTGGAAGACTTAGTACAAAACAGGGAACTATCTCAACAATCTCGATAGTGATCACATGTTAAATGAAGTAAATAAAATACAACTGACCCTTGTACAACATGGGTTTGGACTGTCTGTATCCACTTATTTAATTTTTTTAGAGACAGGGTCTTGCTCTGTTGCCCAGGCTGGAGTGCAGTGGTGCGACCTCACACCACTTCACAGGCTCAAGGAATCCTCTCATCTCAGCCTCCTGAGTAGATGGGACCACAGGTGAACACCATGATGTCTGGCTAATTTTAAAATTTTTTTGGTGGAGACAGGGCCTCCCCTATGTGGCCCAGGCTGGCGCTGAACTCTTGGGCTCAATCCTCCCGCCTGATCCTCCCAAAGTGCTGGGATTACAGGTGTGAGCCACTGCACCCAGCCATGAGTGTGTCCACTTATATGCAGGTTTTCTTCCTCCTCTGCCCTCTCTGAGACAGGAAGACCAACCCCTCCTCTTTTTCTTTCACCACAGCTTCCTCAGTGTGAAGATGAAGAGGATGAATTTTATGATGATCCAGTTCCAGTAATGGATAGCAAACATATTTTCCCTTCCTTATGCCTTTTCTTCATCCAGCTGCTCTATATGCCCATATGCCTCTGTACTTTGAACCCTGGTCCAAGTTCAGCTGCTAGGGAATGGAAATACTAGAGCATAGCTAAGATGCACTGGATCAGAAACTCTGGGAATGGCGTGGCTGAGCAATCTAACATGCCTTCCAGGTGATTCCAATACACCTTAAAGTTGGAGAAACCCAGCTTTAGATCTTAGGGGAAAAGAGTAAGACACTCAGGCAAACCCCACTGGCCAGCAGGGCCTGTTTCACACACCCTCACCTCTAGTCCTGCTTGGCCAATGAGGGAAATCCAGCCTATGGATTCCTCTTTCATTCACTCCAAACCTTCTTTAATCACATTTCCTCTCTAGCTTAATTGTAAGAATACAGTATATAATACATGCAACATACAGAATGTGTTAATTGACTGTTTACGTTATTGGTAAGGCTTCCAGTCAATAGGAGGCTATTGGGGCTGGGTGCGGGGCTCACACCTATAATCCCAACTACTTGGGAGGATGGCTTGAGGACAAGAGTTCAAGGCCAGCCTGAACAACGTAGCAAGGCCCCTGTCACTAAAATAATAATGAAAACAGCAAACAGCAGGCTATTAGTTAAGTTTGGGGGAGTCAAAAGATATATCTACATTTTTGACTGTCAGGGCACCTCTAACTCCAGTATTGTTAATGGGCCAAGGGTAGCATTAAAATTATTTCATCTGTGTATATATATGTGTGTGTGTGTGTGTGTATACATACACACATATATATATATATATATATTTACAATGTGGCTTGCCTCAGTGGCACACGTTATCTTTCTACTGCAGTGCTGAATTAAAAACATTACTCTGATGGCCCCGGAAGGACAATTTGCTTGCTGGACTTCATCTTCCGTTCCAGCCGTTCCGTCAAGTCCGTGTGTGGACCTGCCAGCAAACATTCCCTCTTTATCAGGCAGAAGCTCCCTGTTTGTTCCTTGGGGAGCCATCCCCTCTGGGGTCTAGGTGCATCTGTGCATACAGGTGATCCCGGCCTGGCTAATCATTGTATCCCATCCTGCCCTCCCTGCCCCCTCCGCGAACAGGCTGAATGGTCCGTGACCAAGGCTGGGGGAGCAAAGGCTAATCTCAGGAATGTTTCTGGAACTACCTGGCAAGAAGTGGGTATGTCTTTCCAGTAGGGCTGGTAAGTGAGGAGCCTAAAGTTGCCTGAGAATGGGGCCTCCCCAGGGGAAAGCAGAGTGGAGAGAAGGAGAGAGAGGCGTCCATGACCGCCACTCAAAACTCTGGCTCCGGTCATGCCCTGGGGACAAAAGTTGGTCATTCCCAGACTTTCCAGTGACATTAGCCAATGAACTCTCCTTTTTGCTGAAAGCACTGTGAGTCGGCAACCGGGAAGTGTGCCGTTTGCCAGTGACAGCCTGTGGAACTGGCTGAGTCAAGATGGCTATGGTGCCACCACACGGTAATTCAGGCCTTGTTAGGGTGGCAGAGTGTGCTGGTCACTTCTTATGGCTGCCAGGAAGACACTGCAGATAGAAACTCATCTGAGGCTGGCCCGCCTGAAAGAAAACAGCTTTGCTATGGAGGCCGTCTCTGCAGAAAGCCATCTAAGAAGACACAGAGCTGTATTTTCTGCCCAAATTAAAGTCAAAAGTTGGGCTGGGTGTCATAGCTCACGACTCTAATCTCAGCACTTTGAGGCCGAGGTGGGCAGATCACCTGAGGTCGAGAGTTTGAGAGCCTGGTGAAACCCTAACTCCACTAAAAATACAAAAGTGAGCCCGGCGTGGTGGCACGCACCTGTAGTCTGAGCTACTCAGGAGGCTGAAGCACGAGAACTGCTTGAACCCGGGAGGTGGAGGTTGGTGCCACTGCAATCTAGCCTAGGTGACAGAGCAAGACTGCCTCAAAAAATAAAAATAAAGCCAACAGAAGGAAGGCAAAGTTGGAAAAGAGTCTGGGATCCAGAACTCCTAGGGCCCTGTGCCTCAGCAGTAAAGAACCACCCACTGGCCAGCAGGCTGGGCTATTAGTTTTGCCTTTCCCTCCCAGGCTACTGTTGCCGATTGCCAGGAAGCAAAGAACCTATGGAAGCATTGAACTGCAGGTTAGGGAAATTTCCAGAGATCTGCTGCTAAGTGACTGAGATCTAAATCCAAAAGACCAGCACCAGTCTTCATGTAGGACTCTGGTTATTAAACACCAAATCATAAACTGACGAAATCCAAATGCCAGATGGACAAGCACTAAAATTTAAAGGCACTTTTACTGCCAGAGAATCGCTAAGTCTAGAAAGCGAAGGCCCATGATGTTGAACCTCTAAGGAAATCAATCACTAGGTCCGAAAGCCAAACCGGAAGTAAGTGAGGTGTGAGGGAGGGGCAGCCCCAGAATTCCTCCCGGGAGATGGAACTCGGGGTGGACTTATAGGCTCGGCGAGCTGCCATCCCTGTTGAGGACACGACAAGAAGGAAGTGACCACTTTATGTCGTTTCTTCTTTTCCAAACGGAGGTTTCTGCTGGGTTATCCTGTTGTTTTTCCTCCCCTGTTTAGTTAACAGTGAGGGGAGAACTGGGGTTGTGGGGACCCCATATTACCAGTTTGGCCTCAGATCTGAACATGGGTGCAATAATTAGGCTTTCTTGAAAAGGGCTAAGAATTTCAATATTGGATGGGGTAGCATTATTTTCATGCTTAACCTGGAAAAATCAAGCGTACATGCTTGGTAAAACAATAAACCACATCGCAGGACTTAAATAGCGTGGGCAACCTCTGTCTACACCACCCTGCCCTGGGCTGAGCACCAGGGTAGATGGAAACCTCTTTTCTTGGTCATCTCAATGTCTGTTAGCTCACGGTGTGAGCACTGTGCTGAGTGGAGAGGTATTCACCATTTATGCACACATCTTTAATTGCATGCCCTCTATC